CAGCATTTGAGGCTAAGTAAGGGACACGCATGTGGAGCTCGGGAGATAAAATGCTGATATGATAATCCAGGATCTTTTCTTACTCGTACGTTACTAGAGATCACTTGGACAAATAAAAAAACAGCGTTCTGTTTCCTGAACAGGTAGCTGTCCATCTGATGATTTGCTGCCCCTTCACATCCAAAGAGGTTCAGACCGGGATATCGTTCGAGAACTGAAATTGGCCAAGTGGAACAAGGTGTGGGTCGACATCTGCGCAAGGGCAAAGTGTTGTTGGAGGGATCCAAGCCAAAGCTGCGCGTCATTGCGCATCCAAATGGAGGTATCATTTGTACAACTAGGTACAGCTAAGTGTAGGCTGCGTTGACTCACATGTTTTACACGGCACTGCATATTTGAGGGCTTACGCCCGACAGCCGGTAACGTCCCTTCTGGATCCCCACTAACATCCGGACATTTCAACTTTTCCAGCTTTTTGCAAAATCTTGCGGCCACCAAGCCCGCTAAGCAGAACCGATGTGCTTTCGTGGCGCTTGCGAAACGGCAAAACATTACCCAAGTTCTTATTCAAAAAATAGCACATGGAACCCCAAAAAGTCCCTAACGTTCCTTCTGGATCCCTACTAAAATCCAGCGGCGTCAGCTTTTCCAGCTCTTTGCAACATCTTGCAGCCACCAAGCCCGCCAAGCGGATATGATATGCCTTGGTCACGCTTCCGCGACGGCGAAACACCACCTAATTTTGTGGACAACATTGAGCAAAAGGAATCCCAAAAAGTCCCTAACGTCCCTTCTGGATCCCTACTAAAATCTAAACATTTCGGCTTTTCCAGCTTTCTGCGAAATCTTGGAGCCACCAAGCCTGCCAAGCAGACATGGTATGCCTTTGTGACGCTTCCGCAACGGCAAAACATCAAAACAGAGCAGAAGGAACCCCCCAAAGTCCCTAACGTCCCTGCTGGATCCCTACTAATAAAGTCTAGACTGTTCAGCTTTTTCAGCTCTTTGCAACATCTTGCAGCCGCCAAGACCACCATGCACCGCTGGAGCTGCTGCTGATGCTGATTGTTGTTGTTGTTGTTGTTGTCGTTGTTGTTGTCGTTGTCGTTGTTCTCGCTGTCGTTGCTTTCGTTGTCGTTGTTCTCGTTGTCGTTTTTCTCGTTCTCGTTCTCGTTGTCGTTGTTCTCGTTATCGTTGTTCTCGTTGTCGTTGTTCTCGTTGTCGTTGTTTTCGCTGTCGTTGTTCTCGTTATCGTTGTTTTCGTTGTCGTTGTTCTCGTTGTTCTCGTTGTTCTCGTTGTCGTTGTTTTCGTTGTCGTTGTTCTCGTTGTTCTCGTTGTTCTCGTTGTTCTCGTTCTCGTTGTTTTCGTTGTTGCTTTTGTTGCCGTTGTTGCACAAACAGAAACCTTTAATCCCTGACGCACTCCCCTTGCACCAGCCGTGGTCGGCGGATTTTCGATACTGCCCAAGATTAATGCGAAACGTTTGACTATCGTTCAGGAACAGCACGAATAATGCAGCATGAAACATACAATACTTCAATAAACCGAAACCTTAGCAAGCAAGACATAAGTTGGATCAGATCTCTGCTCGCCCTCGCCTATGTCTGCCTTGTGTAGGAGCACTGGGACGCTACCAAGTACAATTGGATTGTGGAAGATATCCTTGACGGAGCTTTGGCATTGCGACATGTTGAGACAAAGGTTCACAAAGTGTTTCCAACTCTTCAAGACAAAAAAAACGCTGCAAAACACAAAGATAACACCAGACATCAGAAATGGCACGATTAGGGCTGCCACTTCCTGGCATCAATGTTTGAGGCATTCTGTGACTCATCTTCATATCAACAGGATAGAAGTATCCTCATGCTGAAAAAGCCAGTACCAAATTTGAATCTGGGAATTGAATGGTTGAATGGTTTGAATGGCTTGAATGGTTTGAATGGTTTGAATGGTTTGAATGGTTTGAATGTCAAATACGTAGGCTCTTGTTGACTTCGGGAGCAGTGGCTGGTCAGATCTTATGGGGAAAGGACCGCTAAAACCTTAAGGAATTGATAGTAGCGGTGAGGAAGAGGATGACAATGAGGATAGTGGATGAGGAGAATGAGGATGATGAAGATGATAGTGTCATGTGTTTGTTTTGGTTTGGCAATACTTCCACGCCCTTGCTGTTGACACCTCTTCACCCTTGGCACCTCTGAGCAGGAATCGGCAATTCATTTGCGCTCGAAACAGCACCTATGGGATTCGGTGTTGAGTTGAATCCTTTTGGCCTTGCTGCTGCAATAGGCCAGGCATTAGAAACAAGTCAGCAAAAAGAAATGCAGCAATTCAAGTTGAACTCAAGTTCAGCATGGTCTAGCTGAATGGAACAAAGATATTGAGCTCTGTGCACTGCGCAATTCGGTTCAAACAATTTAGAGGTATTAAATTTTATTAACGTAGCAACGCAATGCAACACACATGTGGCTGGCATGGGAGCATGGGAGTAATAGGCTTCACTTTGGGTTTGACATGGCGTAAATGCCACACGGTGCTCGCTGTGGCAGGTACAATGGCAGTCCATGGGGTCGAGTTCCATTATGATCAGCAGATTGCAGATCGTGAGATGCACTTTGAGCAAGCTGGACACGACGACTGTACCTTTCTTAGGAATATTCTTGTGCCTAAAGACTTGACTTGCTTTGGACACATATGTTCTGTTGTTTCAAAGTTTATAGGTTTGTTTGACACGCTGATAACCTGAACAAACAAAATGTATTCGTATAATGTTGCAATAGCAGGCTTCCTTGGTGGTTGTTTTGTCCTTGGCTTGAGTTTTTCGCACGTTGTGGGGCAGTTTGCCTTGAAAGGCTGGCCCCTCGCTCACGCGGGTGTCTCCAGAGCGTGTGTAACGTGTGCGTCCACAAATATTATATATATATACTGTATATATATAATATATGTATATATGCACCAGGCCCTGCCACCCCCCCCCCTGCCCTGTGGTGAGGTGGGCCCCCCCCCTGTGGTGTGGTGGGGGTGTGGTGCTGTCCCCCTCCCCCACCCCCACTTATGGCATGTTTGGAAAGTATGGTATGTTTGGTATGCATGGTAGGTATGGTATGTATGGCATGAATGGTTGGTATTGTATGGATGGTAGGTATGGTATGTAAGCCTGTTGGGTATGGTATGCTTGATATGACAGTATGTATGGTCTGTATGGTATGTATGGTTACTATGATGGGTATGGAGTGCTTCCTATGTAAGGCAGGTATGGTATGTATGGCATGTACGTTTGGTATTGTATGGTAGGTGTGGTAACTATGTTTCATATGTATGGTATGTGTGTTATGTGTGTTATGTATGATAGGTATGATAGGTATGGTATGTATGGCATCATTGGAGTGTATGGTAGGTGCGGTATATGTTAAACACATGTAGTGTTGTGAGAGTGCACAGGTATATAATAAATAATAAGTAGATACATAGCACATGTATATATGACTATAGGTAGCACGTAGGTACTTTGAGGGAGTATGTGTGCTACGTAGGCCGTCGTGGAGATAGCATGTACGTAGTAAATGCAAGGCTGGTAGTCAGAAATGCTGCAAAGACCTAGCAAATACGAAGCTGGACCTCAGAAATGCTGCAAATAGCTTGCAAATAGAAGGAAGGGGGTGCTACCTGGGGACCCAGCCCATTGTGCGGGGTGGAGAGACGGAGGACGGGACCATATATATGTATATCTATGTAAATATCAATTAAAATTAACTGCATATGTATAGTATATGTATGTATGTTTGATAATATGTGTGTTTATATATAATATGTGCCTATATAAATATAGCATTATTCATGTATATGTATATGTAATATGTATATGTAATATGTAATATGTATATGTATATGTATGTGTAAATGTTATGTAAATGTATGTGTATTTGTGTATATATGTATAGATGTAAAATGAATATATATCTGTATATCTATCTATATTTCAATATCTCTATATATGCTCATATGTATATATGTACATATGTACGTATATATGTATGCATGCATGCATGCATGCATGCATGGATGGATGTATGTATGTATGGGTGGGTGGATGGATCGACGGATGGACGGACGGACGGACGGACGGATGGATGGATGGATGGATGGATGGATGTGTGTTTGTTTGTTTTTCTGTTTGTCTGCCTGTATGTATTTGTGGATGTATGGATGCATTGATGTATATAATGTATGTATGTGACTAATGTATGCAATGTAATGTAGTGTAACGTATGTAAGGCCAGAATGTACTGTAATGTAATGTAGTGCAATGTAATGCAGTGTCATGTCATGTCATGTCATGTCATGTCATGCCATGCCATGCCATGCATGTAGTGGATGTATGGATGTATGGATGTATGTATGTACATATGTATGTAATGTATGTAATGTAATGGAATGGAATGGAATGTAATGTATGTATGCATGTAATGTATGTATGTCTGTTTGTTTGTCTGTCTGTCTGTATGTATGTATGTAATATATGTATGCATGTACGTATGTAATGGATGTATGTATGTAATGTATGTATGTAATGTATGTATGCAATGTATGTATGTACGTATGTATGTATGTAATGTAATGTAATGTAATGTAATGTTAGTATGTATGTATGTATGTATGTAAATATGTAATGTATGTAATGTTTGTTATTCATGTAATGTATGTAATATCATGTCATGTCATGTCATGCCATGTCATGTCATGTAATGGATGTATGTATGCATGTATGTATGTATGTAGTGTATCTTTCAATGCTGTAATGTATGTAATGTATGTTTCAATGTATGTCACGTTGTTTCTATGAATGCTTCTATGTGTGTTTCGTTGTGGGTATGTAATGTAATGTATGTATGTGTGAATGTATGTATGTAATGTTTGTAATGCAATGCAATGCAGTTCAATGTAATGTAGCGCAATGTAATGTATGTATGTAATGTAGTGTATGTATGTTTGTCTGTATGAAATGTATTGTATGGTAATGAAATGTCATGTCAAGTGATGTAATGTATTGTCATGTATGTATGTTTTTTTTGCATGATTGCATGTTTTGCATTTTTTGCATGTTATGGATAGTATGCATGTCATGCATGTTGTGCATGTTTCACATTTTGTGTACGTTTTGCATGTTTTGCATGCTTTTGAATGTTTTCCGTGTTGTGCATGTTTATGCAATGTTGCAATGTTTTGCAATGTTTAGTAATGTTACGTAATGCACCGTAATGTGTATGTGTAAGTGTGTATGTCTGTGTCTGTGTCTGCGTCTGTGTCTGTATACGTGTATGTGTCTGTGTCTGTGTCTGTCTGTCTGTGCCTGTGTCTGTCTGTCTGTGTATGTGTCTGTGTCTGTCTGTGTTTTTCTGTCTGTGTATGTGTCTGTCTGCCTGTCTGTGTATGTGTCTGTCTGCCTGTCTGTGTATGTGTCTGTCTGTCTGTCTGTCTGTCTGTCTGTCTGTCTGTCTGTCTGTCTGTCTGTCTGTCTGTCTGTCTGTCTGTCTGTCTCTCTGTCTCTCTGTCTCTCTGTCTCTCTGTCTCTCTGTCTCTCTGTCTCTCTGTCTCTCTGTCTCTCTCTGTCTGTCTGTCTGTCTGTCTGTCTGTCTGTCTCTCTCTGTCTGTCTGTCTGTCTGTCTGTCTGTCTGTCTGTCTGTCTGTGTATGTGTCTGTGTTTGTCTGCCTGTTTGCCTTTCTACCTGCCTGCCTGTGCCTGCCCTGCCCTACGCTGCCCTGCCCGGCCCTCCCCTCCCCTCCCCTGCCCCCTGCCCTGCCCCGCCTGCCTGCGTCCCTCCCTCCCTTCCTGCCTGCCTGTCTGTCTGTATATATGTATGTATGTATGTATGTATGTATATATATATTTTTTATATTTATATTTATTTATTTATTCCTTTATTTATTTATTTACTTATTTATTTAATTAATTATTTAATTATTTATTTATATATTTATTTATTTCATATATATATATATATACATTTATTTTATTTATATATATATAGTTATTTTATATATATACATATATTTATTTATATATTTGTTTATTTATTTATTGATTGATTTTTATATAAAAAAAAATATTTATTTATATATATTTATATTTGTATTTATTTATGTTTTTTATTTACTTATTGATATATATATACATATATTGATTTATATATATATATTTATCTGTATGTGTATATAAATATAAACACATGTGTGTGTATTAACTTTTAAGTATATAAATGTGTGTGTGTGTGCGCGCGCGTTTCTTGCATCATTTCCTTCTGTTCCCATTTTTTGCAGGTAATCCCATTCAGCACGGATTTGCGCGAACCTTTTGTGACCTTCATTGCATCAGAGATGCAGTGCGGACACTCGGACATGAGCGATATGGGCTCGGCTGCGGTTTGACCCGTGAAGAGTGTGTTTGGCAGGGAAGCTGAATCGGGAAAAGCACGTAAAAGCGCAAAATGACACTGTCGTGCAATCTCTTTAGGTCATCGGCTTGCATCCATGCATTTTTTGGTTTTTCCGCAAACTGTGATTAGAAGAGTCCACACACAATCCATTTATCATCAAATTATCAAGCCAATATTCATGTGTTACTTCTAAATGCATCGGTGCTATTCTGCTACCATTCTGCACCTGTCTAACGTAGTGAGTGGCAGACACCATGCCTCCTGGACGGCTGCCACGGGCCGAGTCCTACTGGAACCCGGTGCGAAATTAGTGATGAAACTGCTGCATTTAGTTTGTAGTTTGTCAGAGTTTCTAGGCACACGGGACAAAGTTTCTGTGAGTTGCGAAACTAAACTAGACGACGGATGGCCCGAGAGCGTAGAAGAGCAGAGCCCTTTGGTGTTAGTATGGAAACACTATATTAGAAGACAATATATTAAAGATTTATAATGGGCAGACGAGAAGAGTAGTATCAAGACAATATATCACAAACACAAGACAATAGTTTGCATCGTATCTTTCGTATAGCTTCTTCACACACAGAACTTTTACACACAGACGCTTTTACAGACAGACGCTTTTACACACAGAAGCTTGTACACACAGGCGCTTTTACACACAGACGCTTTGACACACAGAAGCTTTTAAACAAAGAAGCTTTTACACACACCAAGAAGCATAGAGAAGCTTTTACACGCAGACCTTTTGACACACAGACTACACAGAGACTTTTACACACACGCACAGAGGCTTTTACACAGATGTTTTCACACACACTCTCTTTCACACACAAAGACTTTCACACCCAGCGGCTTCTACATACAGACATTTTTACACACACACACACTTGCTAGCTTATCGAATTATTGATGTGGAACGCATCGTACGTGCAAAAAACACTCCAGTTAAACCTGACAGGAGAAAATGGATGACCCAACGTGAAAATCAGTGCGAAGTATGCTTTCTACGTCCTTGCTCGAAGGATTACTTTGTTCTGATGCAGCACGTTCATCCTCTAGTGACATTGGAGATTCAGATTGCGAAAACCGTGCAAAGCGAGAAATTGGAAATCAGGTTGTTTGAAAACGGCTTGGTGGTTCTTGGGTTAGCCACGACCCATTGCAGAAAATTGACATGAAAAACGAAGCAGGTACGTCCAGGTGATCAGCCTGGATATCCTAAGGACACCATAGAGAGCTTCGTTGGGCACAGCTCTATGGGCCTTCTGTGCCCCCCTGCATCGACTACATAAAAATGAAAATGAAAATGAACTGACAGCGACTTGCCCGGAAAAAGCTGGAAAAGATACCATCCAAGAAAATACGAGAGTTAGAAGTTTTACATCTTTTCAGATGTTCCACACACACGCCTCGCTGCCGCGAGGCTGGTTTTGCAAATGCGTAGTAGCTAGCGAAGCTCTTATCCAGTCCCTGAAACAGGACATAGCGATTGACGCAAAATCAAAATACAGGGAGGAGATCTGCAAATGAATTATCCGGTTTGCTCAGAACGACATCGGCAGGAAGTTCAGCAGGAAATTCAGCAGGTCGTTAGTCATCTATGTCGGACAACTCTTCCATCTGCTGGGCGTGCTGGGAAAGGAGATGAGTCGTCACAGCCAAATGGCTGGCAAGGTGGGCCAAGTCTGCCGCCGTGAAGACCTGGACTGGGTTGGTGCTCAAGTCATCACCTGGATTTTCAAGCTTCTCAAGGATCGCAGCATTAGAATCCCTGTCATTGTTGAGAATGTCTCAGAGGACTGCGGCCAGCTGGTGGATCTGACTTGGAACCGATGCCGCACCGGCATTGGCTATGATGGAGTCAGTATCGTCCATCCCTGATCCCGGAATTGATTCTTGGCATTCTTCATGTTGGTCAGCATTGTCAGACGCTTGCGGGTAATGTTGCCATGAGTCTTGCTCACGGTACACTTCAGGGATATTGAAGTGTCGACGCCAGTAATTGGCGAGTTGGGTAGATTGTTCCCAAGAGTCTATCCACCCGTGACGAGCTGCACGGATGTGACCAACAATCCCATTGAAGAAGAACTCCGGTTGACGGTTGTATTTCACACCGTAGCGATCCACTTCCGTCACCATGAGGCGACTGGCTTCTGGTTGATAAGGAGAACGGACCTCTGTGAAAATGTGAGTATGGAGAATTCTATGCTGTTGTTCAATTTCAGCCTGGAGTGGGTAGGCTTCTTCACGTACAGGTTGTATATGGGAGTCTGATGGGCAGGAGCATCAGGTAGGGGAACGGACTGGGCCGTTGCCGTATACCCGTAGTGGGATGAACTGCCGTCGTAATCTATCCCTGGAAGGGATTGTGGAGCCAAGTTGCCCATAACGCTGCCAGGTTGAGGTCTTTGACCTGAAAATGTAGCGCCACTGCTGGATTGACCCTCGAAATGAAGATGACGACGTTGCATGCTCGTCGGTGCCCGAGGTGAGGTGATACCGGCGAGACAGGAATCACGCTTTGTCATATTATAACTGAAGCCAAGAGCTGAGAAATGACGCAAGTGGCAGTGATGAAAAGAAAGAAAGAAAGAAACCCGAAGTGGCGAAATTGGAAAAAATTGGAAATTGGAAATCGGAAAAGAAACCAAGAAGATGCAACAAGCAGCAAAGTAACTTTTATCCGCATTATGGAAGCATGCTGCGGTTGGGGAGAGCCTCATGGCAACTCATGCGCATGATGTATGGCTGATAGTGAGACGTAAAATAACGAATGCTGTTCGGAAATAGGATTCCAAATTCCTGACCTTCAGTCCAATGAGGACGATATTCATGGAGAAGTTCAATCAGGCGGTCTTTGTTGCGAAGGGCAAAAGTATCTCCAGTTTGATCTTGCCAACGTAGACCATGGAAGAAGGATACAGGTAGCGATCCCACGTGTACCAGTGTTGGCTGATGTAGCCCAGCAGGGTGTTCACCGTGATTGTTTCAATTTGATGTGTATGAAGCAGGATATGGTAGGTGAACAGAGCAAGTTCTTCATTTCTGCCAAGATTTGGCAGCACATCGCACGTTGTCGAATCCATGACGTCGTCATGGATTTTGTTCATGAGTGGACGAACTGCGTCCAAGTTGTCCGAAGTCGGGGTACTGGGGGTACTTCATGCCATGCGTCTCGATACTGGCTGCGATGTTGCTGATTTCGGTTGTGCCACATGGGTTCGTCCCGTGAGCGGGAGCGATCAGGGGCAGTTCGCACATAATCGGATGAATGAGCCATATTTGCTAGACATAGCAGTTTGACTTGATCAACAATGAACAGAGAGAAGAAGAAGAAGGAAGAGGGAAAGGGAAGGAAGGAGGACGGAGAGAGAAAAAAGGAACAGAAAGAAGGCCAAACGAGACAGGGCAAAGGAAAGGAAAGGAGAGGAGGGAGAACAAAAGCAAACAACAGATACACTCTTTTTCACTGCTGGAATGGAATGTCAGCGTAATTTAATCCTCAGCCTCTGGTTCATGAGGCGGGTGAACGCGACCATGTTGGTCCGTTTGTTTCAAGATTCCC